CTTAAGATTAATTCAATGACCTTTCAACAAGTCAATCAGAACACCTACCCCTCAGCTCATCTATGAAAGCAATACACCTCCCAGCCCCTCCATAGAAGACTCTGCGACCTACAACTCGCCTGCAATAACTCTTTCAAATTCTTTAAAAATCGTGATTTTATTCTTTCGCGTTTGTTTAGCGAACAATTTATATTCCTTGCCAGCAATGACCCAAATAAATGTGGCAAATGAAAATAACAAATGTTGTTGTGCCACACAATGTTGTTGCTGCCGGCAGCCATGCATGCATACCTTGCAGTTACGATTGCGTTACGCACTTTATTGGCGTGACCATTGTTGGCAACAAGTTTGCAAGTGGTTGTTGCTGCTGTTGTTGTTGTTGAAAAGAGCTATGATGATTAAAGCCATGACTTAAATCATCATGGCTTGACTAAGGCTAAGCTGAGTAACTGGTTTTCATGGCAGCAGATTTTCAGTAGCCACTCCGACACTTAGCATGTCTGTTGAACTGAAAAAAATAAAAATGAATAAAATCTCAAAACAATTTGAATGAAATCTGGTCACAGTGGCAAAATAGATTTCTTTGGGTTTGTGTGACCAAAATACCACTGCGATAATCTCCCAATCCATAGATTTTGTGTGTGTGTGTCACAGATGAATCAAGTTGCGTGATAAACTCATAATAACACATGAAAATGAACCCAAGATCTAATGGATCACATCCGTTTGATCAAACCAAAGGTCTATTCTCTGCGTCTATATCTCTCTTCAAATTAAGCCTTGCTATACACACACTCATACACACAATTCTGTCAAGGTTATTTCAAAGCTACAGAAGAAAAAAATGAAACTTGTTACAAACATAATTCACTTTATAACAAATCGGATTTGCAAATCTAAAAAACAAACGCCACCTGAATGGGTTTGTTGGTTATGAGAGATTTTCGATCAGTGAACAAAGTTTAGAATCTAGGATACTTGTTTTGAGGAGGTTGGTTCGTTTGATATTTGTCACACAATATTCATATTCAATATGATGATCTCATATCTAGATACGTATGATGCAACCGAAATTATTATAATGTCAGAGTTCAGGTTACTTTAATAGACCACCTGTCCCCTTTGTGTGTTGGTTCATATATAGGGACTATCTTCAGATTTTCTATAAAAATTTGCAAGCCCTTGTTTTATCGATTCAGCAGGGCTGAACTGAAGATTTCCTATAGAAAACCTCATTCAGCCGGGCTGAATTGAAGATTTCCTATAGGAAACCTAATTCAGCTAGGCTGAATTGAAGAATTCCTATAGGAAACCTAATTCAGCTAGGCTGAATTGAAGATTTCCTATAGGAAACCTAATTCAGCTAGGCTGAATTGAAGATTTCCTATAGGAAACCTAATTCAGCTAGGCTGAATTGAAGATTTCCTTTAGGAAACCTTGTTCAGCCAGGCTGAATTGAAGATTTCCTATAGGAAACCATATTCAGCCGGGCTGAATTGTAGATTTCCTATAGAAAACCTTATTCAGCCAGGCTGAATTGAAGATTTCCTTTAGGAAACCTTGTTCAGCCGAGCTGAATTGAAGATTTCCTATAGGAAACCTTATTCAGCCGAGCTGAATTGAAGATTTCCTATAGGAAACCTTATTCAGCCGGGCTGAATTGAAGATTTCCTATAGGAAACCTTATTCAGCCGGGCTGAATTGAAGATTTCCTATAGAAACCCTTATTCAGCCGGGCTGAATTGAAGATTTCCTAAAGGAAACCTCATTCAGCCAGGCTGAATTCAGGAAACCTCATTCAGCCAAGCTGAATTGAATATTTCCTATAGGAAACCTTATTCAGCCAGGCTGAATTGAAAATTTCCTACAGGAAACCTTATTCAGCCAGCCTGAATTGAAGATTTCCTATAGGAAACCTTATTCAGCCAGTCTGAATTGAAGATTTCCTTTAGGAAACCTTATTCAGCTAGGCGGAATTGAAGATTTCCTATAGGAAACCTTATTCAGCCAGGCTGAATTGAAGATTTCCTAAAGGAAACCCTATTCAGCAAGGCTGAATTGAAGATTTCCTATAGGAAACCTTATTCAGCCGAGCTGAATTGAAGATTTCCTATAGAAAACCTTATTCAGCCGGGCTGAATTGAAGATTTCCTATAGAAAACCTTATTCAACCGGGCTGAATTGAAGATTTCCTATAGAAACCCTTATTCAGCCGGGCTGAATTGAAGATTTCCTAAAGGAAACCTCATTCAGCCAGGCTGAATTGAAGACTTCCTAAAGGAAACCTCATTCAGCCAAGCTGAATTGAATATTTCCTATAGGAAACCTTATTCAGCCAGGCTGAATTGAAAATTTCCTACAGGAAACCTTATTCAGCCAGTCTGAATTGAAGATTTCCTTTAGGAAACCTTATTCAGCTAGGCGGAATTGAAGATTTCCTATAGGAAACCTTATTCAGCCAGGCTGAATTGAAGATTTCCTAAAGGAAACCCTATTCAGCAAGGCTGAATTGAAGATTTCCTATAGGAAACCTTATTCAGCCGGGCTAAATTGGAGATTTCCTATAGAAAACCTTATCCAGCCGGGCTGAATTGAAGATTTCCTATAGAAAACCTTATTCAACCGGGCTGAATTGAAGATTTCCTATAGGAAACCTTATTCAGCCGGGCTAAGTTGAAGATTTCCTACAAATTCTCATTATCACTCCATAAGAAAGGGGCATTACGCTCTGACTAACAACTTGAGAATTCCTTTTGCTGCTGACACAATTTAAAATTCAGAGCTCATAATGCAGTTTATCCAAAGTTATGTAACGAAAAACAATGTAGGCAGGCAGCCAGACAGACGGCCAGGCGTATTGCCATTGTGTCTGCCAGACTTGGCTCTATCGATTTCATTAATAGCTCACATTTGTTTTACAGATAGATGCAATAACAACAACAATAACCACATTAACAATGGAATGGTGAAAACGATGCAATAAGAAGAGGTTAAGTCAGCACACAAAACCATAAGCTTGATTCCGAAGTCTATTTAGACAAACTCACTTTGGAGGAGTTTTTATATAGTTTGGAGTGTAAGACAGTGGCTCAAAGTCACACAGAAAAATATTGTTGTAAAATTTATTGTAGATAATCTGTGAATAGAAGACCATCCATGAAACCAAGACCTTTCCTTGTGACTTCTATCAAGATTTTTCAGTAATTATATACACCCGGAGCCACTGTAATAAATGTTTATGACGCTTTGCACCACCACCACAAAATTCTTCGAACATCAGCTGAAGATGCAATAACCAGCAGCATCTCCAGCCAGCCAACAAACCAGACTGTATGTCTGTCAATTCGGCAGTAGCAACAGCCTTAACTGCAGATTGTTTTTGTTGTTGATAACTTGATTTGTAATAATACTTTTGTTGTTGGTATGATTCGTTAGTTAGTCAACGGTTCTGACAGATATTCGATGATCGACATAAAAAAAAAACAAAAACAAAATTTGCTTTGTAAAAACGTGATATTCGTTACCCAAATATTGTGGGGCATTGATACAAGACAAACAACCAATAATTTGCTCCATAAAACAAATGAAAAGCGAAAGAGAATAAAATAAAATCGAGAGTTTGGCGGATTAGAGAAGCTTAGAAAAGGGAAATTAAGGCTAACGGGTGTATGGAAACTGTTCTAACGGGCTTAAATTGAAGATTTCCTATAGGAAACCTCATTCAACCGGGCTAAATGGAAGATTTCCTATAGGAAACCTTATTCAGCCAGGCTGAATTGAAGATCTCTTATAGAAAACCTTATTCAGCCAGTCTGAATTGAAGATTTCCTATCGGAAACCTTATTCAGCCAGGCTGAATTGAAGATTTCCTATAGAAAACCCCATTCAGCCAGGCTGAATTAAAGATATCCTATAGAACAACTTATTCAGCCAGGCTGAATTAAAGATTTCCTATAGGAAAACTTATTCAGCCAGTCTGAATTAAAGATTTCCTATAGGAAACCTTATTCAGCCGGGCAGAATTGAAGATTTCCTATAGGAAACCTTATTCAGCCGGGCAGAATTGAAGATTTCCTATAGGAAACCTTATTCAGCCGGGCAGAATTGAAGATTTCCTATAGGAAACCTTATTCAGCCAGGCTGAATTGAAGATTTCCTATAGGAAACCTTATTCAGCCAGGCTGAATTGAAGATTTCCTATAGAAAACCTTATTCAGCCAAGCTGAATTAAAGATTTCCTATAGGAAACCTTATTATTCAGCCAGGATGAATTGAAGATTTCCTATAGAAGACCTTATTCAGCCAGGCTGAATTGAAGATTTCCTATAGAAAACCTTATTCAGAAGGGCTGAATTGAAGATTTCCTATAGAAAACCTTATTCAACCAGGCTGAATTGAACATTTCCTATAGGAAACCTTATTCAGCCGGGCTGAATTGAAGATTTCTCATAGGAAACCTTATTCAGCCGGGCTGAATTGAAGATTTCCTATAGGAAACCTTATTCAGCCGGGCTGAATTGAAGATTTCCTATAGGAAACCTTATTCAGCCAGGCTGAATTGAAGTTTACCATTAGGAAACCTTATTCAGCCAGGCTGAATTGAAGATAGGATCAGCCGGTCTGAACAGAAAATTTCCTATAGATAAATATGGTTTTCTATAGAACATCTATTCTACTTAGGGCTTAATAACGTTATATGACTCAACAGAACTATCCAAAATCACATGCTTCCCATTTAATTTCATAACGTCACACTGAAAAAAGAGCACAACAGCACGCAAACCCCCTAAAGCCTACAATTAGAGTCAGAGCATGCATCAGTATTAGACGGCTTTGATTGACAGCCATTATTAAAACAATGCGGTTGTTGGCGGAACAATAGAACAAATTCACAACCTTATTACAGATCATCAATACATTTTACATTCAATCACAGTTAAACGCCTGGAACGTTAATACCCAACACAGATCAAAATCGGAAATTCAATCTAAACCAAACCATGTGGGATTTATTTAAATTGGAAGATCAGTACAGCCGCTACCCTGAACTCCAAGCGGAAGAAATTGAAAAATTACAACAATGGATCCATGCTCAGCCCCACATGCCCAAGCTGACTGCCCAGGAGGTTATGTTATTCTACTATGCCTGTAAATGCAGTACGGAATATACCAAACAGGTGATAGATACCTATTTGACCTGTCGCACCCATGTTGATGATTTCTTTGGGAATTTGGATGTAGAACGGCAGGACTTGAAACGAGCCATGAGAACGGTGTAGGCTTCAAATACAACAGAAAATAGAATTTTAGTAATTCTTTGATTTTCAGGGCCTGTTTTCCTTTTCCTCGAAGGACTCCGGAAGGTTACGGCATACTTATAGGGAAACTTATCGATATGGATTCATCAAATTTTAGTTTTGCCGATTCCATAAAACTGTGAGTATGGTCGTGACATTAAATGGGGTTCGAAGTAAATAATTCTATTTTCAGATACTGTCTTATCCAAGACATTTATCTTCAAGAGGTGGGAGTGCTACCAGGAGTTATTTTTGTGATAGATTTTACTGGATGTACACTGGGACACATTGCCCGAATCGGCATACTACAAATGAAGAAGTTTCTGTTCTATTTGCAGGTATGAAATATTCAGCCAATGGTTGTCCCTTAATTTCCAAATTTTATATGTGAAAACTTCAATTCAGCCTGGCTGAATAAGGTTTTCTAAAGCAAATCTTCAATTCAGCCTGGCAGAATAAGGTTTTCTATAGGAAATCTTCAATTCAGCCTGCCTGAATAAGTTTTGCTATAGGAAATCTTCAATTCAGCCTGTCTGAATAAGGTTTTCTATAGGAAATCTTAAATTCAGCCTGGCTGAATAAGGTTTTCTATAGGTAATCTTCAATTCAACCTGACTGAAGAAGGTTTTCTATAGAAAATCTTCAATTCAACCTGGCTGAATAAGGTTTTCTATAGGAAATCTTCAATTCAGCCTGGCTGAATAAGGTTTTCTATAAGAAATCTTCAATTCAGCCTGGCTGGATAAGGTTTCATATAGGAAACCTTATTCAGCCGGGCTGAATTGCAGATTTCCTATATGAAACCTTATCCAGCCAGGCTGAATTGAAGATTTCTTATAGAAAACCTCATTCAGCCAGGCTGAATTGAAGATTTCCTATAGGAAACCTTATTCAGCCAGGCTGAATTGAAGATTTCCTATAGGAAACCTTATTCAGCCAGGCTGAATTGAAGATTTCCTATAGGAAACCTTATTCAGCCAGGCTGAATTGAAGATTTCTTATAGGAAACCTTATTCAGCCAGGCTGAATTGAAGATTTCCTATAGGAAACCTTATTCAGCCAGGCTGAATTGAAGATTTCCTATAGGAAACCTTATTCAGCCAGGCTGAATTGAAGATTTCCTATAGGAAACCTTATTCAGCCAGGCTGAATTGAAGATTTCCTATAGGAAACCTTAATCAGCCGGTCTGAACAGAAAATTTCCTATAGGAAACCTTAATCAGCCGGTCTGAATAGAAGATTTCCTATAGAAAACCTTATTCAGCCAAGCTGAATTGAAGATTTCCTATAGAAAACCTTATTCAGCCAGGCTGAATTGAAGATTTCCTATAGAAAACTATATTCAGCCAGGCTGAATTGAAGATTTCCTATAGAAAACTATATTCAGCCAGGCTGAATTGAAGATTTCCTATAGAAAACCTTATTCAGCCAGGCTGAAGAATCCAAAGTCATATTCTTCCCATTTAATTTCATAACGTCACACTGAAAAAAGAGCACAACAGCACGCAAACCCCCTAAAACCTACAATTACAGTCAAAACATGCATCACCATTAGACAGCTTTGATTGACAGCCATTATTAAAACAATGCGGTTGTTGGCGGAACAATAGAACAAATTCACAACCTTATTACAGATCATCAATACATTTTACATTCAATTACAGTTAAACGCCTGGAACGTTAATATCCAACACAGATCAAAATCGGAAATTCTATCTAAACCAAGCTATGTGGGATTTATTTAAATTGGAAGATCAGTACAGCCGCTACCCTGAACTCCAAGCGGTAGAAATTGAAAAATTACTTCAATGGATCCATGCTCAACCCCACATGCCCAAGCTGACTGCCCAGGAGGTTATGTTATTCTACTATGCCTGTAAATGCAGTACGGAATATACCAAACAGGTGATAGATACCTATTTGACCTGTCGCACCCATGTTGATGATTTCTTTGGGAATTTGGATGTAGAACGGCAGGACTTGAAACGAGCCATGAGAACGGTGTAGGCTTCAAATACAACAGAAAATAGAATTTTAGTAATTCTTTGATTTTCAGGGCCTGTTTTCCTTTTCCTCGAAGGACTCCGGAAGGTTACGGCATACTTATAGGGAAACTTATCGATATGGATTCATCAAATTTTAGTTTTGCCGATTCCATAAAACTGTGAGTATGGTCGTGACATTAAATGGGGTTCGAAGTAAATAATTCTATTTTCAGATACTGTCTTATCCAAGACATTTATCTTCAAGAGGTGGGAGTGCTACCAGGAGTTATTTTTGTGATAGATTTTACTGGATGTACACTGGGACACATTGCCCGAATCGGCATACTACAAATGAAGAAGTTTCTGTTCTATTTGCAGGTATGAAATATTCAGCCAATGGTTGTCCCTTAATTTCCAAATTTTATATGTGAAAACTTCAATTCAGCCTGGCTGAATAAGGTTTTCTAAAGCAAATCTTCAATTCAGCCTGGCAGAATAAGGTTTTCTATAGGAAATCTTCAATTCAGCCTGCCTGAATAAGTTTTGCTATAGGAAATCTTCAATTCAGCCTGTCTGAATAAGGTTTTCTATAGGAAATCTTAAATTCAGCCTGGCTGAATAAGGTTTTCTATAGGTAATCTTCAATTCAACCTGACTGAAGAAGGTTTTCTATAGAAAATCTTCAATTCAACCTGGCTGAATAAGGTTTTCTATAGGAAATCTTCAATTCAGCCTGGCTGAATAAGGTTTTCTATAGGAAATCTTCAATTTAGCCTAGCTGAATAAGGGTTTCTATAGGAAATCTTCAATTCAGCCTTGCTGGGTAAGGTTTTCTATAGGAAATCTTCAATTCAGCCTGGCTGGGTAAGTTTTTCTATAGGAAATCTTTAATTCAGCCTGGATGGGTAAGTTTTTCTATAGGAAATATTCAATTCAGCCTGGCTGAATAAGGTTTTCTATAGGAAATCTTCAATTCAGTCTGGCTGAATAAGGTTTTCTATAGGAAATCTTCAATTCAGCCTGGCTGAATAAGGTTTTCTATAGGAAATCTTCAATTCAGCCTGGCTGAATAAGGTTTTCTATAGGAAATCTTCAATTCGGCCTGGCTGAATAAGGTTTTCTATAGGAAATCTTCAATTCGGCCTGGCTGAATAAGGTTTTCTATAGGAAATCTTCAATTCGGTCTGGCTGAATAAGGTTTTCTATAGGAAATCTTCAATTCAGCCTGACTGAATAAGGTTTTCTATAGGAAATCTTTAATTCAGCCTGGCTGAATAAGGTTTTCTATAGGAAATCTTCAATTCAGCCTCGCTGAATAAGAGTTTCTATAGGAAATCTCAATTCAGCCTGGCTGAATAAGGTTTTCTATAGGAAATCTTCAATTCAGCCTGGCTGAATAAGGTTTTCTATAGGAAATCTTCAATTCAGCCTGGCTGAATAAGGTTTTCTATAGGAAAACTTCAATTCAGCCTGGCTGAATAAGGTTTTCTATAGGAAATCTTCAATTCAGTCTGGCTGAATAAGGTTTTCTATAGGAAATCTTCAATTCAGCCTGGCTGAATAAGGTTTTCTATAGGAAATCTTCAATTCGGCCTGGCTGAATAAGGTTTTCTATAGGAAATCTTCAATTCGGCCTGGCTGAATAAGGTTTTCTATAGGAAATCTTCAATTCGGCCTGGCTGAATAAGGTTTTCTATAGGAAATCTTCAATTCGGTCTGGCTGAATAAGGTTTTCTATAGGAAATCTTCAATTCAGCCTGGCTGAATAAGGTTTTCTATAGGAAATCTTTAATTCAGCCTGGCTGAATAAGGTTTTCTATAGGAAATCTTCAATTCAGCCTCGCTGAATAAGAGTTTCTATAGGAAATCTCAATTCAGCCTGGCTGAATAAGGTTTTCTATAGGAAATCTTCAATTCAGCCTGGCTGAATAAGGTTTTCTATAGGAAATCTTCAATTCAGCCTGGCTGAATAAGGTTTTCTATAGGAAATCTTCAATTCAGCCTGGCTGAATAAGGTTTTCTATAGGAAATCTTCAATTCAGCCTGGTTGAATAAGGTTTTCTATAGGAAATCTTCAATTCAGCCTGGCTGAATAAGGTTTTCTATAGGAAATCTTCAATTCAGCCTGGCTGAATAAGGTTCAATTTAGCCCTGCTGAATAAGGTTTCTTATAGGAAATCTTTAATTCAGCCCTGATGAATAAGATTTCCATTAGAATATCTCCGATTGTATACAGCTGAATATTATGTTTTGTTAATTGTATTATTTATTTCATCTAGGAAGCACTTCCTGCCCGTCTTGTGGGTGTACACTTCATCAACATTGTACCATTTATCGATAAATTATTGGCCATTATGACACCATTTATGAAAAAGGACCTCCTCGATATGTTCTATGTCCATAGTAATATGGACAATTTCTATAAATTTGTACCACATGAAATAATGCCGGCGGATAATGGTGGCAAGGAAAAACACTCCAAGGATTTAAGAGGTACGTCTTCTGGTTTACATTTAAAAAATCCGGAAATGATTATCTGTACTTACAGAGATTTATTACGATAAGCTGCGTAATAACCGACAGGATGTTATGGAATATGATCACAGTCGTCGCATTAATGAAAAGTTACGCCCAGGCAAGCCAAAAAACGCATCCGATTTATTTGGTATTGAAGGCAATTTCAAGAAATTGGATATAGATTGATGATGATATGTCAATAAGGATGGTATCGTTATGTATTTCCTGTAACTAATTTTGGTGTTAGCAATCTATTTTAAAAAAATATATATATAAAATCTCGATCTAATTATAAAAAATTAGAACATATTTTGTTGTATAGTGAATTATATACAAATTTAGCCAGGCTGAATTGAAGATTTTCTATAGAAACTCTTATTCAGCCAGGCTGAATTGAAGATTTTCTATAGAAACTCTTATTCAGCCAGGCTGAATTGAAGATTTTCTATAGAAACTCTTATTCAGCCAGGCTGAATTGAAGATTTTCTATAGAAACTCTTATTCAGCCAGGCTGAATTGAAGATTTTCTATAGAAACTCTTATTCAGCCAGGCTGAATTGAAGATTTTCTATAGAAACTCTTATTCAGCCAGGCTGAATTGAAGATTTTCTATAGAAACTTTAATTCAGCTGCGCTGAATTGAAGATTTTCTATAGAAACTCTTATTCAGCCACACTTAGGCGAATATTTATAATTGCGGTAGGGAGAATACCTAATAATAAATTTAAACCATTTCTGTTAAAAATAAAAGTGCCTAAAAGCTTCGAAATACTGCACGTGGTTGTGGCGTTGTATGGGAACCATCCAAAAAGTGGATCAATATTAACCATTTTTTAATATGTGAAAACCCAAAATACTACATATATGAATGGACCCATTTGTGGTCCATGCATATGGAATCTCATGATGGATCCCCTGTCGCGGGAGCTAGCTGCCTCCTTCAAGGTCTGTGCATATGCGGATGACTTGCTCATAATGATTGAAGGGAATAGTCGCCTTGAACTGGAAAATCGTGGTGAGCAAGCTATGCAGATTGTGCAGGCTTAGAGTGACCGAGTTGGAGTAGAGGTAGCTACCGAAAAGACTATGCTGATGCTGCTGAAAGGCAAGTTGGCACGCAGCCTTCCTCCCTGCATTCGAGCTGGTGAGCGTGGCATAAGGTATTCGTGTACTGTAAAATATCACGGGATAAAGGTGTCCGAGCGTTTGAATTTCCTTCCGCACTTTGATCGGTTGAAGGAGAAGCTGACAACGGCCGTTGGGACCATTAGGCGTGTTTTGCGGACCGATTGGGGCTTGAGTAGGCATTCTGTGCGTATCATATATGGTGGGCTTTTTGTTGCCTGCGCAACTTATGGTGCACCTATTTGGTACAGGACTGCCTTTGGGCAAAATAAGCTCCTTTCGTTTCAGCGGGTCGTCATGTTAGCATGCTTGCCAGTGTATCGCACTATTTTTACAGAGGCGTTGCAAGTGCTGCTTGCCGCCGCGCCGCTTGATCTTGAAGTGAGATGTGGGGCTATCATGTATAAGCTTAAGCGTGGCTTGCACTTGGATGAGGATGATTGCCTCAGGCCTTCTGATCTGGTGGATGGGGAGAGTAGGCGCTACAGCACTATCCTTCGGGAGTGTGTTGTTGATAGGTGGAGGACAAGGTGGACGAACAGTGACAAAGGGAGGGTGACGTACGAATTTATTCGTGACGCAACGTTCGTAGTGGACCGGCCAGACTTTCGCTTCGGCTTAAGTACTGGTTTCTTACTGACAGGGCATGGTTCTCTCAATGCGTTTCTGCCTCAAATAGGCCTGTCCCAGACGGATTTGTGTGGGTGCGGGATGACTGAGGACTAGAAGCATATACTGACGGAATGCTGTTACTATAATGACATTAGAGATTTAGCAAGTATGGGTATATCGAATGGCGGGTGGGATTTCAGTAGGACCTATAGTTGTTTAAGTAATTTTGCTCGTGAAGCATCTAGGAGAAGGACGGCACTTAGTGGAGGTGGTCCTGGTGCATAGCCCCTTGCAGGTGGGTTCAGTCGGTGGTGGGTTCGTGCACCGGGTGGCGGTGCGTGTTTTTGCGGTTGTTGGCGAATGTTGGTGGTGGGAGTGCTGATTGCGGCTGTTTTTGCATTGTGGGTGGGTCGTGGTTGATTGATTGTTTATGTGTGATGTCTGATGCCGCGGTCCTTGGGCCTTTTGTGCAGTCCGTGAGGACAGCATGTTAATTGTTTGTGTTGTGTGTATTTGTTCAATGTCGCCACTGCCTGTGGTCGGGTCTTCCTTGCCACTTGCGGTTTTTGCTGCCGTTGTTTATTTTTGTTTTGGGGTACCAGCCCGGACTTGCGTCGAACTGGGAGAGGCTTCAGTCTCGAGCCTGAGAGGAGGTTTTCCGTACCGCGGGTGTCAGGTGGCCCTGGATCTGTTGATCCAGCCTGACAGTTGGTGTGGATTCTGGGGATCTTCGCGGGGGTTGTGGTTTCGCCCCTCAACAAGGGGGAGAGTACGCCTTCTGCATGCTCTTCGATTGGTGCAGCACTTCGGTGCTGGTGGACGCATATCCGCCTGTGGTAGGCCAATAGGCAGGTACTCACACTAAACTCTCCAGGATACTCAAGATACCTCCAAATACCGAATATTGAAGGATATTGTTATTGGATTTTATAAAAAATAGTATAAAAAATAGTTTTTTTCTGTTATCCTAAGATGCCTGGATTTTATTAATTTTTTTTTTTTTTGTTATCCAAGTATGCCTAGATTTTTTAAAAATATTGTTCTAAATCATTTAACACATTTGCCGTTTTCTTGGCTTTCGAAAACATTTTCAATTTGCTTAATATCTCATTCTGGGGCCAAGTAATAACAGTTTTTCTAAAACTTCCCATAATTATTAATAGTCATACGCACTATGGTCCAGAATGTTAAAAATCACGATATTAGCTTAAAAAGCAATCTTTTACCTGAAATGGTTATAGTTATCAATAATTTGATCGATTATCTAAAGATTATAATAATTCGAGGCGAGCTGAGAACAATTTCTGAGATCCACAAAGGCGTAAATATTTTAAAACCAGTGAGCGGAGCAGTATAGTCGGACGGGGCCGACCATACGATAACCTACACAACTACCACAGAACTCTATCTTTCTGCGGATTTTTATTCCGGGCCTGGGTAATATTTCGTGATAGTTGCATTCTCTTGCCCGATTAAAGGTCAACAGCAACTCTTCCTTATACTGACATATTTTCCGAATATTACCAATATTCAGTACAGCCCTTCTAATTACTTGTCCATACTCCCTTCACCGTGGGTTGTTGTGTGATGTTTGGCTTATAGTTGTAGCCTATATATATCGAATCGAAAAAAAGTTTTCGGTCCACTTCATCCCAAAATTATTATCTGATCATCGCCGAAAATTATAGGCGTTGTCCTTGACCATAACTGGAATCTCACGGAATATTTCAAAGTGATCAGCGCTATATTTTCGCCCTATATTTATATTTCGCACCTGTAAATATTTATGTGTAACTCCCACATCCGAGTACATACAGCCATATAATTTAAAGGTCAACCAAACCTCTTGGATATACTATCAACTTCTCGGGTCTATGTCTTTCAGGAGTAAATATATACGCCATAGATGGCAATTTTTGTAATTTTTCACACAAAAGTCAGGGTCCATTTGACAGGCTTATTATTTGGCCCGATCCCCTTCTCTATGTAAAATTTCGCGATGTTGGGGCCTAAAGTGCGGTCTCTAGAGCGACCACAAAAACCGACAAAAATTAAGTATTTGGTCCATTTCATCCCCTAAATAGTAGCCGATCTTTACCAAAAACAATAGGGGTCTTCATTGGGCCGAACCTATTCCACATGCAAAATTTCGTGAAGATTGGTCCATAACTGTAGTGGGTCTAGGACAAATGTTTCGCGGCGTTACAAACTCTTGGGGCTGCACAAAGCTATAATACCCTGACAACATAGTTGTGTAGGGTATAATACAATAAAAAGTATTCAAGGAAGCGTGGTGGAATGTATAAACACATCGTTAAGTTCGACAGCACCGGACCACGATATGGACATTAAAAATACCTAAAATCGATCGAGAGTCTTATATAGAGAATTTCCATTGCAAATTGTCTGCTTTATTTTCTTAGAAAACGAAATACCAAATTACAGACACTTCAGTTGGAAAATCCCGCAATGAACTTCATCATACCGAAAATGAAGCTATGTCAACCTATATTGAATTTTTATTGTAATGATGTTTTGACCCTTCTAGAATACGGTATGCCAAATTACAGCCCAGAAAATGCAGCGATCTTTATATTGAATTCTACAGACATACGGGTATGGCAAATTCGACATAAACATTTATTCTAATTAATAATATAATTCATGGGGCCTCCGAGAAATTGTTCGAGGTGTTGGCCCCTTTTGGTGTAGGGTATAATATTAAATTAAATAGCGGAATTATTTCTGTAATTTGTATCTAGCATAGAGAAATCTAATTTGGTTCTATTTTTCCACTCGAAATACTTGAAAACCCTCAGTACCCTCCAACCATCCGAACAGAGTTTAAAACGAAGATTAAAAACAAAACAAAATTCAAGGTTATATGCTCTAATTTCCATAGACAAATGACTGACCTGCACTCATTGCTTAGAATAAATTTCCGAAACCAAAAACAAACATAAATGCCATAATTAAGCAAACAAATTTTGGCGGTCTATGGAAATCTTGCACTTCTTTGTCTACATATAAAATACAACAGCAACCTCGGCTCCGAACTCATTAGAACATCAAAAAATCCACAAAACACTAAACAAAATGCTCTTCAACATTTTCAAACTCTTCGATTTGGAACAACAATATTCCCAAAATCCCGATATACAACGTCAGGAAGTTCTTCAACTGCAGCAATGGGTTTCACAACAACCTCATCTATCAAAAATAGCAGAACATGAAGCATTATTATTTTACATGGCCAGTGGAGGTTCGTTGGAAAAAGCCAAGAAAAGAATTGATTTAAATTTCAACTGCCGCACTCAATTCGAGGAATTTTTCAAAGATTTAGATATTGAAAGTGTGGAAATGAGAAATATACAGCGAACACTGTAAGTTGATTTAGATTTTTTTTTTGGTTCAAGGGAAATAATAAAAAATTACTATTTTTCCTCCTT